CCGCATATCCAAGTTCGACATTACGAGTATAACTGAATTATGTGTACAGTTCGGTTATAACCATTATCTAACAAACAACAGAAAATGCCTAGATATGTTTCTGTTCTTCAGTATAATAATAGCCTTTGTACCTGTACTCGAATAGTCGAAACGAAGCGTGTTCACAAGGTGGTAAAAAAGACCTTGAGAATGCATGTGAGGAGCTAGTAAATAATTTTTCTTTGAACATAATGGAAGATGTGATTAATTATATGTGTTGACATTCATCTTGAATGCAGGCATATGTGTAAACAAAATATATTTTGCCCCGGCAATGGAGGATTGTATGTCCCAACGTAGGTGTGGAAACATGATCCACTGTATTATTCATAAGTACTTCTTTTGTATTCAGTGTCTGTTGAACCTAACTACATATTGGACGTGGGAATCATCCTGGCTGTTCTGCTACTGATTGTTGTTATCCTATTGCTGTTGCTTCTTCTGCGTAAAGCACCACAGTTTTGTCCACGGTAGGTATGCTTATACTTAGGAGAGAAAACAGCCAATCGATACATGTATCGTTCTTTACAGTTGTGGGATAACGTAAGGGAAACAAAAAAGAAGATTCGTGTTTAGATACAATAGGAATGTACAAAAGAAAGACAAGTATGTACATTTATGAGTTACCTAAATATCTTTGCACTGCATCAGATATATGTTGATTAACGATAGTGGACAAACACTCATTTCCGTCTATCTTCAAACTTAAATCTAATGCATGATTTATTTCACTAAAATTATATGATCAGAATTTTAAGTAACACAGATTTTCTTTAGTGGCTTTACAATGGACACTCAAATACATAATGATATGAGTTTCCACATGGATTACCACATTGACATATTGGATCATATTTTATCTCTGTTGTGTAGAAAATAATAGGTTAACTGGCTTTACATGTATCCTTATCGAGTATGATCAATATTCCAACTTTCTCACATCATTGGACAAATATGAAGGTGCAACACATTGCTCTTTGCCTATGTATGACTTGAACTGGGATATAAATGTACAATTTCTACCTGCTACAGGAATGGTGTTCCATGACCTTACAGTTGATGGAATAAAAGAACACGTTGAGTACTTTAGTCTAGTAGTGAGACCCACAAGATTGTCTAAATTTCTTAAATGATATGATTCATTTGAACTTGCAGTGGTAGTTATAATGTCTTTAAGATTAGCTGGGGTAATATTACTTTGTATTTTGTAGAACATACATAGCTTACACTTCCTCCTTCGTTCCTTTAACGTTAACCCTTCATAATAAAGATGTTTGTGTTTTGAGCGCAGAAAGTATTTTCGCAGCTCCTTGTGAAAGAGTTTCCAATTGACTTGATAATTCTACATTACACCCATTTCGTATGTCTCAGACTTATATTTGTTTCTAGGAGAATATTGTCCAACGGAAACGACCCAGAACACGCTTTGGCTGTTGAGGAAATGCGTCATATGGATACACGATATGAACCGCTGCATCGGTACTGGGACATAAACTATAGTGACATGCACAGAAACACGGCTGCGTCCCCTGATGCTTCCCAATCCCCTGTACACCCGTTTGAAGGTATACATAACGCATCTGACGAAAATGAAAGGGACACAGATGTTGAACCTGACATCGATGGACCTCGAAACGAAAGTGAGAAAGAATCAAGAGCAGTTGACATTTATGAACGATATTTGTCCCCTTGTATGCCTGAACCTCTTTCGTAGTATGTGAGTGCATTGATGCTAAATGTTGTACATATGCACAGGGATATATAAAACAGTTCAATTTTTCTCAGCTAAGCATCCCTTAAACCAGCTGTAGATGTGGTTCAGTAGTTTTGAGACATCACCTACTTACAATCTGAAGACGTCCCTATACACGATGTTAGTTTAAGAGATAGCTGAGAACAAGAAAGAAGTGGGCAAAGGTCACATGACCCCGTTATCCCCGCTGGTCAACAACAAATAGTAAATAGTTTGTAAATAAATGAAATATACCTGTTGCTTTAAGTCAGAGGAACTGCCCTTTCCTTTGTAACCCCATGAGGATGCAATATGTTTGAAGTGAACACATGTTTTTGCAAATATATTTCAATCTAGTGGGATAATCAATGCTTAGCACAACATACATTCTTGATGTTTCTTAATGTGTCCATGGAAACGGCAAAAATTAAAAAATTAAAAATCTTCAAACTAGCAAAAGGCACAAGTACTCATTGTGGTAAATGGGTGTAGCACGTTTGGTGAAGCTAGGGTGCATTGTTAAAAAGATATGGGCCGTACAAAACACCCACCCTAAAAGTTTAAGTTTCTAATATTTCCATGGAAACGGCAAAAATTGAAAAATTCAGAATCTTCAAACTAGCAAAAGGCACAAGTACTCATTGTGGTAAATGTGTGTAGCACGTTTGGTGAAGCTAGGGTGCATGGTTAAAAAGATATAGGCCGTACAAAACACCCGACCTAAATGTTTAAGTTTCTAATGTTTCCATGGAAACGGCAAAAATTGAAAAATTCAGAATCTTCAAACTAGCAAAAGGCACAAGTACTCATTGTGGTTAATGCGTGTAGCACGTTTGGTGAAGCTAGGGTGCATAGTTAAAAAGATATAGGCCGTACAAAACACCCACCCTAAACGTTTAAGTTTCTAATGTTTCCATAGAAACGGCAAACATTGAAAAATTCAGAATCTTCAAACTAGCAAAAGGCACAAGTACTCATTGTGGTAAATGTGTGTAGCAAGTTTGGTGAAGCTATGGTGCATTATTAAAAAGTTATGGGCCGTACAAAAGCTCGGACCGAAGGACGGACAGACGGAACGCTATATAACCCCTGATTTACTTCGTAAACGGGGGTATAATTATGTTCTGATGCACAAACACAATTATATAAGCTTAAAATATACTGTATCGTGTAGCCTTTTTTATAGCATAGCTTAGTCAAATGTCTGATTGTCAGCAAATGTAAATACTAATTTCAAGGTTGCCAAACAACTATTTTCAGCGTAAGTTGCAGACTCCAATGTCACTCCTCACTCACTGCCATGTGAATATTATATACTGTACCGCAAAAGAAACGTCACCATGGATAGATATATGAGACCTTATTTGTCCAAACACTGTTAACATACTTTGAGGCATATTAAAAAGATGAAACTTGGCAAAACTGATCATCAAGGTTGAAAATTAAAGTGTCAAATGTTCTTAAAGTGAAACACAATACTTGTCTCTGAGAAAATAGTATCACAAGTCAGTAACCCGTGTGTCCGCCATGTGCATTGATGACTGCCATGCAACGTCGATACATGGAATGGATGAGGCGGTTGATGCAGTCCATCGGCACTTGAGCCCACACTCTGAGGAACGCCTGACGCAGTTCAGATGCAGTTGTCGGCCCTGGTCGGACGTCATTCAGCCGTCTTTGAATCTCGTCCCACTGGTGCTCAATGGGATTTAAATCGGGACTGAGGGCAGGCCTCTGCATGGTTCTGATGCCATTCTCCTGGAGTAAGTCTGTAGTTGCTCTCGCAATGTGTGCATGGGCGTTATCATGCTGAAACTCCAAATGAGGTATGGCATATGGTCTCATGACGTGACCAATGTACCGAGCTGCTTTGACACCATTGCCTCTCCCTGGACCGATGTTCTGGAAGACAACAGGGCCGACCCTTTGTGCAAGACCAGACTCTCTCTCTCTCTCTCTCCCTCTCTCTCTCTCTCTCTCTCTCTCTCTCTCTCTCTCTCTCTCTCTCGCTCTCTCTCTCTCTCTCTCTCTCTCTGTCTGCTGTTGAGATACAGTAACGGCTCTCGTCTGAGTAGAGGACTCTTCTCCACTACGGGTGGCGCCAATGCTGGTGCTGTGTTCCCCACTGAAGACGGACCCTTGGTCTTCCACTACGTGGTCGGTCATCTGTAGTGTTGGTGGTCTGGTACCGTTGCTGGAGCATGTATATGGTCCTTACGTCGACTTGAAATGCATTGGCTACTTGCCGGGTGGTTTGTTCAGCTTGCAATCGTCCAAGGGCTTGGTGTCGCTGATTTCTTGTCAATCTTGGCATGTGGTAGCAATTCACAAACGAATGAATGTTATCCGATCAGGGTGGATTTTAAAAGGGCAAGAAATTGGGGAACGCATGTGCATTTCAATTTGCACGGAATTCACGTGCATCGGGTTAACATGGCCGTTGCCGTGACGCGTTTGGGCGATCGGTTTTATGTCATAAGCTTTGTTTTTCTATCATCAAAATTCCTTTTTCCGGACAAGCTAATGTTAAATTTTAGAAACTTCGATATTTAAATGACAACAGTTCATGCAATGTTACTTGGGGTGACGTTTCTTTTGCGGTTCAGTATAAAATACATTATTTATGTTCGAACAGATATATACCTCAGACCAAGCAAATGCTAAATGTCAAGAATCGTATGATATCCTAGAAATCATAATCCGGATTCTCTACTGGTGGCGCCAATGCTGGTGCTGTGTTGCCCACTGAAGACGGTCCCGGCGATGACGCGGTGTCAGAATGGGTCCTCGGTGTGGCCTGTGACAGTGGAGGTGTCTGCTCGTCAATCGTCGACGCATGGTGTCCGCACTAAGGTTTCTATATGTATGTGCTCAGACGTGTCAGATGGCACGGATATTATTTATGCAAGCTAGACTGGATCGAAAGTAATCTGCCAGATTGTTAGACACCATGATAAATCCGTGCATGATTTTCATCCTACTATCACAGTTCGAGGAGTTTCAACAAATTTCTTTCTTTCTGTAATTATATAATGGTCGAATGTTCTTTGTGACGGAGGCACCTGAATAAAGAATGTTCACCAACCTATCAGAGTTCTGGGATTATTCTAGCAATATCCTCGAAGTCTACTTTCTGTGGCCTTTGTACAATGTGACGCTTGCAAAGTCTTTCATCACACACAGTTGTGTAAGTCAGCTAATTGACTCCAGTATCTGATTGGGATGGTGTAAGAAACCACTGTACTGCCCCCTTCTAAGTTATTCATTTGGCAAGGGATGATTGCAAAGGCTTGTACATTTTCAAGTTTCCACAGATTCCACTAGGCGGATAAGGCAAAATGTCGGAGACAATAATACCCTACCTTCTTCTCGCGTCAAACGTGTCCACCTCAAAGAACCTCTTCACACTCACGCACCATGCATTTGTGCACGTGGGATTCCACACCCGTGTCTCCTGCAGATTACAAGCAAAGGAGTCACTGATGATACCAGGCGAAAAGCTAAACCATGGCCTGCCCTCCTGGTAGCAACCACCACTCGCACTATTTGCATGACAAAAGTAAGTGTTCGTTGCCTGACACCGCACAGCAGTACTCCCGTGGCATGTAAATTAACCAGAACAAACCAAACCAAACATGCATATGTACATTGATCACGTATTGTCGTCAACCATTAGATTGTATCTGAATTGGAACCCCACATTAAGCTGAAGATATTTTTTATAAAGAACAAAATAATACTAATGAAAATACCATGCTAAAATATACTATTCTCTTCGTATCAATTTGTTAGCACGTATCGGGTCTGTTTCTGTTCCTGTGCATGTTAAATGATTACAAATTTTCTAATGCTTCGCGTGGTTAACAATGACAATTTTAACGGATATGTAGTTATTTATCAAAACAGCAATAAGCTGTATACATTTTTCCCCGTTAATCATTGTGAAAGTTTCCGTATTCCTGCATGATTTTAACATGTAGCTAGATCAGCAATGCCGGTAATGTACTACGATGTAACTAGGCTCAGAGGACAACTGCGTGACTATAGCAACCGTATATCCGATACTACTTAGACGTGTGTCCCACCTTTCCACGATAAGTACGTTCTGACTAGTTATATTACTGGTTAGGTTATGATGAGAGTGACCACTTGCAGTCGACCTAAATGGAGACATATTTGACAGCTACCGAACAACCATAATCGAACATAATCATGCACAGTTCTGTGACTTGTTCATTTGCTATTACATTATTTAGATGAATATTTGCACTCCGGCCTCATAACAAAACGTACGTGAGCAGGTATGTTTTGAATAACATGGTTTGTTAAAAAGAAAATTGATATTCCGAAAAACATTAAGGACTTACTACGTGTAAAATGCCAAATCTATCAATCTTGTTATCTGTATAAATAAACCGTATTCATTGTAATAGATTACAGTCAAAGATCATGCAGAGGAGATATCGTTGAACTCAAAATCGTCAGGTGTGTTACCCCCTATCGACTTTCCTACTCTGGTGTTATCAGACGGACTAGTATAGGTAGCGCTACTAAGTGACTATATTGTCAATCCTTTAACATAACACACCTTGTCATGTGCGACTACTCTACTCTGCCATGACGTCACAACTACCGCGCCTGTAGACACTATGTCATGATATAGTGATGTTAACTGTAAACGTTACCCTTTCCGGGCAGATCCTTGGGGTATGTTTGTCTTTTTGTTTGTTGTTTAACGCCGCACTCAGCAATATTCCAGCTATATGACGGCAGCCTGTAAATAATCGAGTCTGGACCAGACAATCCGGTGATTGACATCATGCGCATCTATCCACGCAATTGGGATACGATGGCATGAATCAACCAAGTCAGCGAGCCTGACCACCCGATCCCGCTAGTCGCCTCTTACACAAGCATGGGCGCCTTTTACAGCAAGCATGGGTTGCTGAAGGCCTATTCTACCCCGGACCTCCACAGGCCCCTTGGGGTAATGACTGCATTGTCTTTTATTGTTATAATTAAGGTATTCTGATGTAAATAACTAAATACTGAAATTCATAGACACAACCTATATTACGTCACTCATCAATTACGATTGCGGGTGTTTGCGATTGTTTGTGATTTTGTCAGGTCAGCCAAAAGTTGTTTGCGAATACTTTGTAGATATAAGGAGGAAATTATTGCCATTATATTATCTAAAGAGGCCTTCAATGTTCAATATAATAAATCTATTTAAAAGTCTAAAAACCATTATATTAAAAAAATCTCTAGATGTTGCTGTCAAATAATCAATAAGTTTAATCTGCCGACATGTACTTGAATATAGATCTCTGATAACTACCTCATAATGCTATGCCGTATAGCCTTGAGTGATTAAAGTTCAAATGAAATTTAGTAATGCCGAATGTATTTTCGACTCTTCTGACCCCAATTTAAACCACCTTACCACAAACTGAGCTTTTCGATGTTTCACTGTGTCAAACGTATTCAGTCTGATCATCACAGCCAGATATGAGATGGCAGTTTGCTAGATAAGGGGCACATGTTATGTTATATGTGAGTTAAGTGTAGGTGTTCTATTTTTGATAAACCGCATCCGTTGTCGTGTGGTAGAACGTCTGCTCGGAGAGCGGAAGGTCGGAGTTCGATCCCCGTCCGCGTCACACCAAAATACGTTTAAAGATGGTACTTGGTGTTACAATGCCTGGCGCTCGGCATTAAAATAAGTGGCTAAACAAGCACTGGTCGGCTCGGAGTCAGTATAATGTGTATGAGAGGGGTATTAATGTTAAACTGCGGCATGGTATCTCAATGGGCTAGCACTATAACATCGGCATCAGTCCGGACTAGTACAAGCAGCCACACGCACACGCACACGCACACGCAAACACACACACGCACGCACGCACGCACACACACACGCACGCACACACACACGTCTGTCTAAGTGTCCGTCTAAAGGTAAACTTAGCATTTGCAAGAGAACCTACACATCAAAACTGTCAGAAATGCAACGGTGGCGAGTACACGAGAATGATGATACATATCGTCAGACATAAAAGTATATGTGAAGCGAGAAAAACTACAACATTTGAACGAACTACGCTTCAGAACAGTCCTTGTATTACAGTAGTCACTATATGGCTGAAATGTTGCCGATGTGACTTTAAATCTTAACTCACTCACCTTGTATTACAGCGATGCAAGTATAACAGGAGAGAAATCTATCTTATCATTAATAGACTTGAGATTTTATCAGCAATATGATGGTACGATGATGTGTTTAGTCCACTCAGCAATATTTGATAGCGAAATTAATAGATGAGCAGTTTTTAGGTTTAAAAGAACTTTGTAGCAGGACAGGGTCATTGTTGGTGATGAATAAATCAGATAAGGGTGGATAGATCGAGTTGTAACAATATAAGATACTTTTAGCGATTCTCAATGTTTAGACTAGGCACGGTTAAAAGCAATTGAAATCTAACCTTTCTGTTCTGCCAAACAGCACTTCCACTCTACCTTCGTCAGGAATTTGAACCCTGTAACATGCATGAGGTGAATTACACTTCCCCATTAGACTAGTCATGTTAAAACTGTATATTATAATAAGAGAAACGAAATCATATCGTGTCATTGTTCACAAACAAATGATACAACATACATGGTTCATGACGTCATCTGAGTGAGTGAAGTTAGTCTTTAACACTATTTCATCTACAACACGTTGTGTCAGCTTCATGTTTGAGGAAAGCCCGAGGCGATGCATGTCATAGACGTCTACCACTTTGGTGACACACAGCAGCACCTGTATTACGCTAACAAATCAGGAACCATAATCAGGGTGAATCTATCATTCGCTAGTATGTTTCTGGCGTGCCAGTGTCATCGACGTCATCTTAACAAAAGGCTAACTTTAGAGATGTTTCTCCTCAATCTTAACATTTCATACGTTGTCTTTCATTTACCTTCTTCAAGTCATATTGCGCAATTTTAGAATAACCTACTGGAAACCTGAAACTACGGATTACCTGTCCCTCGTAAATGAAAGGGGGCGGTCGGGTAGCCTAGTGGTTAAAGCGTTAGCTCGTTACGCCCAAGACCCGGGTTCGATTCCCGACATGGGTACAATGTGTGAAGCCCATTTCTGGTGTCCCCCTCCGTGATATTGCTAGAATATTGCTAAAAGCGGCGTAAAACCTCACTCACTCACTCGTAAATGAAAACTGCGGCTCTCGCCTTAGGCTCGGGACAGATCATACTTAAACACCTGCAGTCCATTAAATGTTCTCTTATTTGGATATCATCTCTTGACGGATGACAAAACACGGTTAAAAGCAACTGAAATCTAACCTTTCTGTTCTGCCAAACAGCACTTCCACTCTACCTTCGTCAGGAATGTGAACGCTGTAACATGCATGAGTTGAATTACACTTCCCCGTTTAGACTAGGGATGTTAGGACTGGAATGTTATAAAAAGTATAAATACATGGTGATACGCGTTAAACTTAAGGGATTGTTGAACTGCAGTTTATGACTCTAGAGGTACACGACAACACTATCAGCACAGCGACAATATATTACCCCATATGTGAGCCAAGATTTCGTTCCCAGGTAGTGTGTTTTGGAACTTCATATATCTTAAATTTAGCATAAGCATGTGAAACTTCCCCTAAGATATCGTGTTACCGTGTCAGTGTCAACACTCAAGAGTCTTATGGCAAAATTATTTCCCTAGAATTGTAAATAGTTATTACTTACAAAACTGTAATTGTAAACAAAATGAATGTGTTCATGTATATGTTTTTCCTTCATCCATCCAACTATGCACTGCGTCTAGTTATACCAAGGAAGTAATGTATTTAAGTTGTTTATAATAATTAAAATATGATTTGTCTTTAAAATCATAACACTCATTTCAGTTACAAAGATAGAGACTTTATCGTTGATCAGGTCAATTATGATCAGAACCTAGACATGTTTAGACTCAAATGCAATGTCCTTCTGAGATCATTCGTTTGGTATACAGTGAATATCAGGCTATAGTGATTCCTCTTCATGTTCAGGTGTGTTAAATTGGAATTTATTTGGACACGTACTGACACCTACGGGAATCATATCTATTGCATAAGAAATATAGTATTGTTAACTATTATGCTTTTGTAAAAACGTTTTCTGTGAAAACTAGGTAAATCATTACAAGTATTTGCAAACACAGAACCATCCCTTAACCAACGAAATGATTTCCATAATCATAAGAAATCTCTGCTAAAATGAGGTCATTGGTGGTTAGAGTAAATAAAAGCGGCTAAGTAAAACACATGAATAAAACATGCCCAAACTTTCAATCCAGAAGGTCCTATGTATCTTGACATTCAAATCATAGTACTAAAGTAGACCTCACAATCGATAACGCAATTACTGATCAGTTGAAACTGAAAACGACACAAGGTCCCAGGCCTTTAGCTATTTTAACCAGGCCAATAAATACACCCCCATTCATCCAGCTACCTTCATAAGAACAGAAGAGGAGCTTCCGGTTTAATCTTAATTCACTTTCGGCTTTGGAAAACACTTCAAATGCAGTACGTCAGAGTCCCACGTCTTGCTGGTAGGACAGGACATCCTTACCCTTTTCGTGTCATCACTGATTTTGACTATCTATGTAGTCCATGAGCCATACCCCATTTTTTTATAAAGCGGTACCACCTAGGGTGGCAAAATGTCAGTACTGAATACATCTAGAATGTGTTTGTTATGATTATGAGTGACATATTTCTAGCAGGCCAACTTCCTACAATTTTTCATGTTTTTTTTCTGAAATTGCATCAAAAATCGTTCTGTACCACTACACAAAAGACAATGAATTCCACTTTTACAGACTTTTAATTTCAATTATAACCCATATGGGATGAGAAAGTCTCATTGATGTGGTATCTGCAGTGTATTGACAGGTGGTAAGATTTTAGGCAGGGGTCACATTTCGTGACCTTTTGACCTCTGATGGCCTACATGACTACCTTATTACTATATTACATATACCAACGTGTAGATAATCAGGCTACCAACATTTTGAGAGGTCATTCGTCAGTGAATTGCTTGTAAAATCATGTGGTGATTACCACCACTAAGTGATGAGTCCCTGGTTGTTTTTAAAGTATTTTTTTTCATCTGTGGATATATTACTTTTAAAAAAGCGTACCCCAGGTGGTACCAATAACTGGTCTGGCGCATGGACTAATTCATATAATTTTCACCTCTAGTTGTCTTTTACACCCATGGAATCTGTTTCGGCAAATAATCAAGACTGATTATTCTCTGATGTTGACGTATTATATTTAAGAAAGCTACATGCAGTTCAGGTTTAATGGAATGGACCCTCAATTTCATGCTTCATAATAACTTGCAGAAACATATGCAGAGTGTATGCTCTAACAAATATGCCATTCAAGCACGGGTTGTTAATACGATAACGAAAAGCAGAATTAACTTGCGCCACTATGTTTATTTTCTTTTTTTTCTTTATCGCATTTGAATCGCATTTCGTTTGTATTCTTTTCGCGTAATTCGCATTTCGTTTCCACTGTAATCCTAGTTTGTATTTTTGTCTCCCATCTGAGTAAACTCCTATGATTTGGAGAGTCGGGTTTGTGATATATAATTGGCGCTGTGACTGAAAATCTTATTCTTTCAGTGCCTCAAACAATATTAAGATGCAATTTTTCACCCTGCAATCATTTGTCATTAACATAAGACATGTTTTATTGAAAACCTTGACTATTATATTCAATGTCACTTAAACGTATTTCAATGACATTTTCAAGAGCATGGTATCTGTAATGGTCAGGCTCGTGCGTAAACCATCGAGACCTTTGGTTTTCGCCCACGTTTCCGAGTTTTTATAGCTCTTCAAGATATGATTATTTATCATTACATACACGTCTTGTGTGTAAAATTATGTATATTGTAGGCATAAGAACGATCAAATGTATCCGAGTAATATTTTACAGTCGTAGTTTAGCTCCAGTAATCGGCTCAAATAGTCCCGCGAACTGCTGGCGCTAACGTCATCAAAAGTTGTGTAGTTCATTCCGAGGTTGTTTCATGCTTTAAATTCACTAAAGTAATAATATGTTTTTCAAAATACTTACATAAACACTTTCCTCGACATGTTATTGGGTAGATTACATCCATCTAAATTACTGTCACATCTTATATTTGGTGATAGATGGTCTAAATGGTCTAAATGTTGGTGTCTTCTGCTACATGTATTTCCGGAAGTGACGTCACCGTGATAATAATCTCGTTCCAAATCAGTTGTAGAAATAACAGACTCAACGTAAGTTGTAGTTTTTCGGCCCCGCGAGTTTTTTAGAAAAATTATTATGATTCTATGGACGTACATAACGGGGTGTTTTTTTTATAATAATTACCTTGCAGCATTATTGACTCATCCTTTGCGTCTAGTAATTATTCTTTCAAGCAGATTAATTAAACAAAACTTAAAATTTGTAGAAATTGATCATCTTACTGTCAAAACTGATAAGGGTTAAATCAAAGTAGATCTACGTCTTGCAGCTAGTTTATTGATATATTGCAATGGTAACTGCCATAAATAACTACAAAAACAAGTAAAGATTTCCGTTATTTGTTATATATTTTTTTATTATCTCTTCTTTTACACTATCTCTTTGAACCTGACGGTTGCGATGGGGACATAAGAAATCCTGACCACGTCTCCCACCCCCAACCCGTTACAGTAACCCTGGTTGAATTCAGTGTAAGAACGAAAATATAGCATATGACACTCATGGTAAGGTGTCAATAACTATCATCATAAGATTATTATCATACATTGAAACCCATGAAGATCCGGGGTGGTATAGGTCTTCAGCAACCCATGCTTGCCCTAAAAGGCGAATATGCTTGTTGTAAGTGGCGACTAACGGGATCGGGGGGTCAGACTCACGGACTTGATTGATGCATGTCATTGTTTCTAATTGCGTCGATAGATGCGCATGTCAATCACTGGATGTCTGGTCCAGACTTGATTATTTAGAGACCGCCGTCATATAGCTGGAACATTGCTGAGTGCAGCGTTAAATAACAAACAAACAAACAAAAACATAATACTTTTCATATATCATACATTGGAATTCAAATCATATATCGACATCATGTACAAAACTTAAATCGGAGGTAGTAAAAAAAACATTTACTGAAAATGGCAAAACATCTCTGTGAACTCATACCTTGGTCACTAATGTTACTGCTCTGTGCTCTGGCCTGAGGATTACTTGTACTAAGCGCTGTTGACCTAGCTTCTCGGTGATAACAACACCTTGACCACCCCAGAGGATTCCAGGTAAGAATTGTCGGAAATGGCGACTAAATAGATCGGATGGTAAGGCTTGCTGACTTGGTTGATTAAACATGTCATCGTATTCCAATCGTGTAGATCGATGCTTATGATGTCAATCACTGGATTGTCTGGTCCTGACACAATTATATACAGACCACCGTCATCTAGCTGGGATGTTGTTGAATGAGGTGTTAAACAACACATATCTGGAATATTGCTGAGTGCCACGTTAAACAACAAACACTACGTAACTGCGTTATTAAGGACATTCTACCTAAAATTATATCCTAGATAATTCTGACGAAACTCTGAAAAAATACCCATTGACGAAAATAGAAATAATGTATATGTAGTTTTTGCAAGTGATTAAAAAGACGGACAATTTATAATAGACAGACAGATTGTTTTAAATGGTATGATTCAGAGAGGAATATAATATGTTCTTTTATATCCACATTACAGGATTTACCTGCAGTTGTAGTGAAACAGTAGTGTATTCTATAAAGAAAAATAATTTGACGCGATTCGACCAGTGGCAACATGACGTCAATAATGACATACCATAACGTCATCTTCTACTCTGGCGTAATTACATGTCACGCAAACAGTTATATAACGTTACTGTGCTGTCTGATTTGGTAACACAGAGTACATGACCATCGTTCGTTGCTTTGACAATGCTATATTGCCATTTCACACTTTTGGACCGGCGCTGTGGTTTGGTGGAACGAACGTCTGCCAGGAGAGTGGAAGGTCAGTGGTACGACAAGCGGCCGCGCCATACCAAAAGACGTTAAGAGATAGTACACGTCGTTACCCCGGCATTAAGGGGCTTACACAAGTACTACACTTAATGGAATCCTAAGATTTCCTCTTGGCTGATGATAGTAAATAACATTTCAAACTTGTGAGCAGCATCTGAATGCAGTGGGTCAATATTCATAATTTTAAGAGATTTTTGACTACATGTATATATTATTCATCTCAACTTGACCAAAAATTGGAATTCACCTATAAAATCTACAATTAATGAAATCTTAAGATT